CTGTTCTCAACTCGGACTCGCGAATTTACTGTGATATATTCACTGGAAAGCCTCAAACATTCGTTCCGCAACAGTATTGACGAGTTATGTTTGACCACTTCTATGGAATCGCCCATCCGAACAGCCGCGCTACCATCAAGAGCATTATGGATCGCCACATGGGGCACAGTATGCGTTCTGATATCCAGCAGTGGGCGAAATACTGTAGTACCTGCCAAAATACCAAGATACGTCGACACACGAATAATGCTCCTGGGATCTTTTCTGTCTGACGCTCGACTAAAGCATGTCCATATCGACATCGTTGGACTTCTACCGCCATCTAACGATTTTATTTACGTGTTGACATGTGGCGATGGCTTCACACGTTTGCCACACGCGGTGCCGTTGTGAGAAGTCACAGCCGAGACGGTGGCACGAACTTTCACCGGAACTTGGATATCCGTGTTTGGCACCCCGCCACTATCACCACGGATAGGGGACCCCAATTTAATTCTGCACTGTTTCACGACCTTAACCGCATGTTTGGCATTTCATCCGGCTGATAGCGGTTTAGTTGAATATATTCACGGCCAAATCAGACGCATTCAATGCTACGCAATCGAATATCAAGTGATCGAAGCGTTTGTCGTTCATACTGCTCGGTATCCGCAACACTGTGAAGGATGATGTCGGTTATTGTCCTACGGAGTTAGTCTTCTGTGCAATAATGAGACTTCCTGGAGAATTAGTACTAGATTCTAGGGTCACCGGCGACGTCGATCCTACGTCATGTGTTGCACGACTGGAACAATACTTTAGCATCATTCGTCCAACACCACCGCGATTCACTTCTCGAAATCACCACATTCACCCCGACTTTCACACGTGCCCCTTCGTTTTTGTACGCATCGACGCGGTTCGCAAGCATTTGACACTACGTTACGTAGGCCTTTTCAAAGTCATCGCTCGCAAAGAGACGTATTTCGTAGTGGACAGAACTGGTTCCAAAGACTACCAGTATGGATTGTCTGAAACCAGCCCACCTCTATATCCGGTTACCTCAACAGACTCCCGAGACTGACGCTGAACAAACTCCGCCACACAACACTCCAGCCACCCAACCGATATGCGGCTCCAGTGCTTCCTCTCCTCCCCAACCAGCATTTGTCACAAACTCAGACACACAAAAGCGTACACAATTTGGGCGTGCAATTATTGTTCCTTCTAAACTACCTACTCACGTCAGATATCGAGCGTTCCACTTCTTGACTCAGGCTCTAGAGGGCGGGAGTACTGTAGCTGCAAGGAGTTTCCTCGAAATTACATAAACACGATATCCAGAGCAGCTCATAGCACGACACTCGAAGACGAACGCGAATACTAGGAACGAACGGGTGTCCTACGTTCCTAACAACAAAGTGTTCATTGCGCTACCATTCAAAGGCGACCAAAATGACAGGGGATTCCGATACCGTCACCGTCAATCTATGAAAAAGTGTTATCAAGCCGCTGAGCTTGTATTTTTGCACCAAAATAACAAATTGCTGTTTTACTCCAACCAGGATAAACAAGACTATCGGGTTACCGCCTCACTCGTTTACCTGTTTCACTGTACTTGCGGTAGCGAGTACGTTGGCCGAATTGAACGAACACTGTCCACAAGGATTTCAGGGCATATTCCTCGAAACCTGGTCGCGAATGGTCAAACGCTGCCTGCCAGTTCGATCTTCCGACACATGCTTGAGTGCTCCATGTGTGAAAACCCTCGTGAATCATTTAGCATAATCAAACAACAGAGCGTCACCCGCCTGCTTCAGTTCACTGAGGTTTCTGCAATTAGGCGGCTGAAACCCACTTTGTGTAAACAGGCCGAGTTTGTCGCCAGTCTCGCCTTGCATTGGTGAAGCTGGTGGCCGCATTCCTCTAGGTCGAATGCCGACCAGCATCAGATGAACTTTGACCGCAGCCCACTTTGATGGGGGGCTCTAGACCGGGTCGTAGGCATTGATCATACAGCAAATCACCGACGCCTATGGTAACCAGTATTTATAATATGCGCACAGAAACGTGTACAATTTTGCCTAAGTTAGTTGGAACGGCGTGTGACATGTCTTCGCACTATCGGTAGCTTTCAATGTACTAATTAACGACCGGTTAACAACACGTGGTCTATCACTGCAGCGAGAACCCACTGTAATCGTAGTTTACAGTAATTATTGCTATCCCTGAGTGAAGTTTCGCAGAGCTAGAGACCAATGCAACGAAAAGAAAGGCTATACCGTACTCGGGGTAGCCCCACAGTGTTTTTAGGGAAAAACATCAGTGAAAGTTAACAAGAAATATATCAGTGGTTTTAAACGGGCAGGTGCGCAAAGCACGTGTATAGATGTTTCCTACAGGCTCCGCTATTTGTTGACAGTGGTGCAGCGTCACGCAGGCAGGTGTTTTTACAACAACTTGCTCCATGAACTCTATCCTCTATTCAGCCTTGCACAGTGCGCCATACGGATCCACTCGGAGCATTTCGGAATATTGCCGCCTCATGGTTTGTTTAACGTGGACATTACTGATACTCCAAATGGGTTCGAGTTGGCTCAGTTGCGGTCAGTACGGTGCCAGTCGTAGAAGTCCTCCTGAGCTGCAAGGCTCCACTTGGAATATACACTCCTGATCAGTGTGTCGGGTTCGTCTCATCTACCCATACCGCTCGCCGTCGTTCTACCTCCAAGTTCAACTTAAACACGTACGCCTTCCTTATCTTTTTGCTATCCATCGTATTCATGGATTCCGGTATTGCATGTAATTTCTTCATTGTCATAAGGCGACAGTCTAGATAACGAGCGATTGTGCTGACGATCACGTCCACCTCAAACTCCATCTTCAGTCATAAGGAAAGAATTACCAAGGTAACTGCACAGTCCAATTCCATTCCATTCCACCGAGCAATCCACGTGACTATCTGACAGACACTTTCGACATGACACGCTACACTCTTGTGGGTTTATTCAATTCTAATGTTCTAATCCAGCTTCTACATGTCTTCATAGTTACCAGTAACAGAGATGTAATGCCCTTCCAGTCGTTGCCCTCTTCAGGATAAGAGCGTTTATATCGGACGAATGACGGGCGTACGTTTCTCTTATTCCCATCGCGCGTAATGTCACCTAAGGATTTAAAAACCGCATAAATCGAATTAGAGACACACTTGGTAGATGAACTATGAGGAAGATTTTCTTTTCGCTTTGCCTGCTGCGTGCGGTTCCCGGTGCAACCAAACGGGGTGGAGGGAAACGGAAGTACCAACTCCGCTGACGAGAGACGGACAATCGGAACCGTATGAACGTTTCAACTTGTAAGTCAGACGCCTGAAATCACCTTGACGTTTCGGAACTAAATTGATGTCTCCGTATACCAAGCGCGTGGGATGTCCGCCGTTTAGTTATCACGTTTTGCCGCTCAGGCCATTGGGCGTAATGACCCTGAAATTTTGCACCGCTCACACATTCCACACATACGCACACGTAAAGTAGGGTCTCACATGCGAGGTCCACAGCTGACCCATCAGTGCGATCTGGATTAAATTTAGATGGGTAGTTGATTGCATTTTCTGCATTAAGAACGAAAACTAATGAGTAAAATAGTTAACAGATTGCGTTAAATTCGAAGTCAATCGAAAAATATTATGGTTGACCTAGTAATTTCACTGTTATTGAAGTCTAAACTTAGCGATAGTTGTGTAGCTGCTATTTACAAGAAACTACGAATGATTTAATTGATCCGATATTCGTTCTGGCTGTTAACACATGAACGTATTTTTGTCTTGTCCTAAGCATTCGTTAGACTGAACTTGGAATTCTGCGTACGGACCTGTCCTCATGCTTTGCCTGCGATAATGTAGCAGTTTAGCGAGTTCTGAGAATTGGTGCGAAAGAAGTGCACCTCTTAAAGTATTCCTCGTTCCCCGATAGGCTGCTCGAGTTGTAAATATTTTCGCTGCACTATAGGCGCATTCGGAGCGACTTGGTCATATTGGGCGTGATATATCTCAACTGTTTTATCACATCCAGGTACCAACTATTCCGGACGAATTTTTGAAGCTGCATAAACCTGGATCCACTGGTTTTAGCGCTGACTTTCATTTGTCATTTAGCGTCATCTATTCTTGTGACGCACTACCTCCAGATGTGGTATTATTACCGAGCATGAAAGAGTTTGAACATCGACTTGATGCCCTCGGGTTGCAGTTTCGAACCAATCCCTTTGTTTCTTAATTTCGTTCCCATTTCCTTGACTTCCTAACTCTTAGTGCCATTAGTACCTCGTGTTATGCTGTCGTGTTTGCAATACTATTATAAGTAGTCCGTTCGTTTTTCTATTGTCTTGCTTTCACTTAAGCATTATTCGTATTTCCAGTAATCGATACACCTGGCACTGTTGGTGCAGTCCACGTGGGAATGGATTGGTTGAGTTCGATGTGATTCGAGTATATGGATTTGGCTGTTCTCCGTTGCCAATTGATCCCACGAACTCTGTCCTGGTTCAACGACGCCCACTGTAAGCATCATCCATGGGAATTTCGTGTGGTGCCCGGCCAAATTATACTGGAACTTGGAATTGGGAGCTGGATTCGGTGACTACTTATTTTGGGGAACTAGGAGGGCGACATCAGAATCTTAACCATTCCGTGAAGCCTGGTTCAGTTCGTTTCATCGGGCAGTTGCGTTAGGCCCGGAAACGATCCCGTTGTATGTTTTGCGGTTAACGGGTCCATGTCTGATCCATATGAATGTTAGTGGGCGAACATATATGGAACCGTTTCACGCTGAGGTTACACTCCACTTGTAAACTAGTGCATTTGTGTCCACGTCGTTATGGGAAATAAATCATTCGTCGTAATGCACAGAGGCTCACGTTTGGTCAGCAAAACCTTTGTACATCGTCTGTCGAATAAACGTAATTAGTGGTTCTGTAATTCACGGATACAACGGCCCCTGCATTATTGGTTATCTTAATTGCAGTACCGGAATATCCTGAGGTATACTTGTCTTTAAACGCCATTGGACCACAACTGCGATGGTCAAACTGGACCAATCGGCCGGCTCGCTGTAGTGCTTCCCAACCAATTGCTAGCTTTCCCATCAAATGGAAACAGTTGTTCGGAACAGAAAAATTCACCAGTGTCACCTCTTCCACTGATAATAATCGCACCCAGGCACTCCTCTACACAGAAAGGAACGCTGCAAAACCCAGTGATATGGCGACATACGTCTGCCAAATGCCACTGCCTACTCGATGTCTTTCAAAAATACTGCTTCAAGCATATTTTGGTGAGTTACTTGGGATACTAATGCCATTTCGATGAGTGTGCATGCTTTAACGGCGTACAGTTATCAGATTATTTTGCCCAGCAAAGTGAGAGAGGTGTTTTTGAGAACTGCTGTCGACTTTATTTGGAAGTAGTGAGGGGGATTTGTTGGATGTTTCTGTGAAGGTTCGTCACAGTTGCCTGAGTCTAACCGCGACGAACCTTCACAAAAATACTATAGACTCTGTCTATTGCGTATCTGTCTACATTCGAGCGGTAGAAGTGGTGCACATTGCAGTGTAATTGAGGTGCCAAGGAAAAGGTAGTCTAAACTACTTTAATCAATGCGTTCATCTTTTGTTTCCATTGATATCTTCTACAACCCATACGTATGCACAACAATCTCAATCCGTCCCACTGACACGGGCGTTGCAATTCGTTGTCAAGTTTTGAGCTTTCACCACTCTGGTTAGCGGAATTACTGTATGTTGAAAACCGGAAAATAGGTTTGTGCACACCTACAGCTGGCCACCATGGGCAGAAATACAGACTGAATTTTTATTACCAGGGCACAAATTGAATCTTCCTAGCTCGTCTTGTGAGGGCCGAGCGTACGCGAACCTGTTTTAGTGGACGGCAGATCCCTATCTATAAAATACATCAATTTGTGCGTATATGTTGCAGCGTTTACCGTTTGACTTTTGTTCTCAATATACTTGTATGCTTTTAGATGGAAGACTTGGTTTGAGGACCCGCTTAACTTGTTTTCTTACCAGTGGTATGACTGAGTCCATTGGACACGTGACATCATGTAAAGACGCTGCGTCTAAAAATAATTTAGCAACCAAAAGTTACCGACTCATAAATTCAAGCCCAGATAGGTAGCCATTCACCTGCTGATTTCTTCAAGCATTCAAGCAAATGTGGATTTGCAATACTTTAGAACAATGGCAGTCCGGATTGGTTGTTCACCTGTTGATCATTTCTCTGAGCTTGATAAATGGGTTGCATACGTTTCATCGCCATGCGAGGTGGCATCTTCAGTACGGCGATATGCAGTGTACCTTCCTGCTTATAGAATCGTCATTCCCTGATTGACGGGCAGGTGAGTTATGAAGGTGGTAATTTCGATTTGCGCCACGTGGTCCCTGCTCATTTGCTTCCGCGGCTGAACCATGTCTTTCTATTCGTCGGAGATCTTTCTTTCTAAGCTGATGGTACACGGGGTCGATGTCGATGTGCATTTTGATTGCAGTATTACAGGAGTACCGTACTTCTAGGAATTCTCTTCCTTTCTGTGTTGTTATTTGAGCTAGACTCCACTTTTTGTTCCAATCGAAGTTATGTCCGTCCTCATCCACATGTGCTGAGACAAGAGACGACGCATAATCTTTTTTGCAAGCCCTCTGATGCTCTTGTATTCTTGTGGATAGTTTCTTGCCTGTCTGTCCTACATAGTTCATTTCACAAGTATTGCAATTTATTTTATACACGACGTTTGTTCGTTCTTGTGCTTTCCGAATGTCCTTTGGGTTTGACAGTATGCTTCTCGAAGTAGCGCTTGGCCTGTGAGCAGCGAAAACGCGATGTTGTTTGAGCAATCTAGCAGCCATTTCATATATGTTCTTTATCTACAGCAAAACGACCCTCTTGCTTGCATTTGGTATCGGCTCGGTGTTTATAGTTTTGTGTTGTAGACATCTGCGGATGTAGCTGCACGGGTATCCAATGCACTGAAACGAAGAGAATACGTTCAAAGTTTAATTGGGGAAACCGTTGCGTTGTTGGATTGCGACACGCAACCCCTGTTGGGACTTCGGTTCACTTTGAGGTAAACCTAGGTCATTCCGATCGCGAAGACCTCATCCGAAATGGATTGGATTAGGTGTTGCTCCTCCAAACACTGGCACACTACGACCGTGGTTTCATCCGGGTTTGAACTCTTGAGGGGGGAATAGCCTAAGCTGGGCTGAAACTCAGGGCCTAGTATTTCACGGCTGACGCCCTGCATACTACGCTACTGTGATCCGCGAGCAATACTTGGCACAGCTGAAAGGAATTCGGAATTCGTTGCTGTTGCAAATCAAACTTTGGTCCGTATGTGTGCCTTTTCTGTGAACGGATTTTTGAAATGCACCATCCTTTGTTCTGGTCACCAACACATCCAAGAATGGAAGCATGTTTTCTGCCTCTAACTACACTGTAAACTGAATCCCATCCAATGCATTGTTGAGTAGTTGGTGTGCCAGTGCTACTTCACTGCGTTTCAGTATTACAAATGTATCGTCGACATAGCGTACCTACAACTTCGGGCTATTAGCCGGTAGTAGATCTTCTTCCAACTTTTGCATGACGACCTTAGCGATCAGACCTGATACAGGTGATCCCATCGGTGACGCCTTCACTTTCTCATAGATCTCTCCGTTGAACGAGAAGTAAGTTGTGAGGCATAGTTGGAGGAGCTTGCAAATGCTTGCGATCGTCATACTCCCAATTTTCTTTTCTCTGTTGTTCAGGAGTTCTATGCTGGCTTCTTTCGTCAGTTGCACATTGACAGATGTGAATAAAGCAGGGACGTCGAAGGAGACCATCGTTTCGTCATATCTATATGCAGTTTCTTGAGCTTCTCTAGAAATTACTTGGTGTTATTTACGGAGTGCTGTAATCCATTGACTAGATGTTTGAGACGCCTCCACAAATCCTTTGCCAGGTTGTAGGGGGGTGTATCTGAAAATGAAAGAATTGGTCGCAATGGAGCACCCTCTTTTTGTACTTTTGGAAGCCTGTGGAATTGTGCGATGTTCGAGTCACGGCTCTCATGTTATTTCTTTCAATCTCCGTAATTTCTTTCAACTGTTGTACTTCATGCACTGTTCTGTTTAGTTGATTTGTTAGCTGCGATGTCGGATCGTAATTTATGCGTCTGGATGTGGTTGTATCACCGCACTGAAGATGCCACTTCTCATGGTGGTGAAACGTATGCAATCCCTTTATCAAGCTCGGAGAAACGAGCAAATGTGAATGTGTTGAGAAAGTTCATCGCAGTTGAACTCAGTCAAACGGCTGATACATGTCAATAAAAACGCTAGAAGACCTCCTCATCTTTTTGGCGTTCGTCAGTCACGCGCATCCACCGGATCCCGGCTGATCCGAACCCGTGAACTTACATTCGTGAGTCAAGAAATTATGTCACCGAGTCATGGCCGACGACAGCAAAATGCCATTGGTGATATCTGACTGTGATACAGCGGTGCTCTTCCTCCAGTGTCATGCATATTATGAACATGTAGGGGACAGGGCTGCCCCCAGATCTATGAATTCCTCTGCAAATGGTCACCAGTCTAAGTTGCATGTGAGCTGCCAACTGGGTCATTAGTTATAAGAAGGTAATTAGGGAATTTATTGTTTCTGCAGTTGCTCACAACGATATTTAATAATACGTACTTTGCCCATAGACCCTTGCTTTGGTTGCTGCAGTATCTTCATACAGAATTCCGAACAAGGAATGATTTTGTTTTGGAAGAAAACCGGTGCTATTCAACTACTCGCAAGTACCCGTGGTCGTTACATATCGTGACACCGCTTTAAAAGTTAACCATCTTTCACTCGAAAATCGATAGTGGTTAATTCACTTCAAATCAGTACTCTCTCTATTGGTTAGTGGCTGGAAGGATTACGGGTTTGCCTTGTAATACGGGTCCCCCGTTTCGAATCGTCGTAGGTGCGAACGATCTAGCTTAGCCCTTACACGACTGCTGGTGGACGCGTGGCGTATTGCTGTTGCTCTCCATTAGACCGTCCATTACAGAAGTGTGGAAGCAGTGGTAAATTTTTCGTCACGGCTGATATGTATGTTGAGCTCCAAAACGAGTGCCTGCAGCTTGACTGAGGTATGCCGCGGTTACATCTGCAACCCATTTGCACATTCCTGCCAAGTTGTAGGCAAAGGAAGCCGCATATTGATCCCTAGCCAATAACACAAGCGTTTCTTAGGAAGCCTAGCTACCAAATGGTCGTAACTAGTTGGCAACATGTGGTCCCAAATTGGAAGCACAAACATAGCTCCAGCCAAGGGAGAATCCGGTCATGGGGATTGATGTGGAAAGCAGGTAACCTCATAATGAGGCATCACACGCGGCGACATATGGGGGACCATGTCATGCGCTGGGCGTAAGTAGTATAACGCAAATGAACGAATCGGACGGAACCGGGAAAACCATGAACCAACACAGAAGTCTTCTATGCTGTGTTCCACAAGACTATCACTGATTTAGTGGGGGGGGGGGCAGAGAAGACCTAACGCTTAGATGAAACTGGCGGCGCAAAACAGATCATCATGCCGTGTTGCATGCAGAGATAGAGCACAATGTAACTTGGGATCCTTGTTTTATTGACAGAAACGGTATATCTACGTCGTTGTGATAGTGTTTCTGGATTTAGGAATCTGAAATTGCAGGTGCCAATTGAGATCGCGTGGGTGGGCAAATTTTACTCGATGACACGGTTCTGACTCTAGCTGTTATCAGGCTGACAGTATTTCGATTATCCACTGAATATTTCACGATTTAAGTCTTTACTCGGAATCGTGCAGTTGCGCAAAAGTTTCACTTTCACAGGTAGTGACAGCCAGAAACAATATCGACAGACATAACAATTTCGCAATCGGGTTCAAGCCAATCCGTTCAATGCATTCGAGTTTCTCCCTAGGACTTTAAGAAAACACTTCATTATGGCACGTTCCACTTTGATCGTTTTCAACTCGTCTCCAAAGCTGTCTGCCCATGTGAGGAAACCTCCCCTTCTGGTTCACTCACGACGAACCGCGGTATTTGCAGCCGATTTTATACACCAAGTCACTTCCTATCACTAATAGCTCGCGTTGAGAAGACAGTAAGAAATGAATGCATCTACCGATTTTATTCTTCTTACCGCATTTTCAACTTGCTAAAGGGAACCAACTGCTTAAATTTCCAAACTGACAATCGGCGCAGAACCTTTCATGTTGCTTCATCGTATAGTCAG